ATTCAAAATGTATGCTTAAAAAGCGAAACTATAAAAAGTTTTTTGGGTGTTCGTTAGACGTTGCTATACTCAGCTCGACGAGCTCTATCGATTGGCTAACTCAGATTCTAATTTGGGGGTGTTCGTGGCTGTTCGTGGGTGTCCGCGTCTTTTAGCAATACCCAAATTCGAATGAATATAATAGGTAGCACTACTTTTTTCATTCATTTCATAACATTAGCATCTATCAACTAGCATCTACAATTTTTCTAACCTTTTTTGACACCAGACTGTTTTCGACTGTAACCCGTATTTAACACATCACATCTGACAAGATATATTTAGCTTCTGGGCTTATAACCCTAGTGAATGTACTCAACTGTGAGTACTCAAAATGTACTCTGCTAGAAAAACCGGACGAGTACTCATACGTACTCATATATTTTTTTACTCACTGAGGACTCAAAAAAATTATATTTGTTTTTACTATAGTTATTTTTAAACACATATAGATCTTCGGTAACAAACTTAACAAATGGATGATGAAATTAAAAAAATAAAAATGGCAATGGCTTCAAACAATGCGGTAATATTTGTTGGTACGGGTATATCTACCTATACAACAGATAACGAACAGGAAGCTTCATTTTGCAAAGGATTACTCAAAAACGGACTTGAAAAATGTCACCGGGCAGGACGAATTACAGACAATGCTATTGAACATTTTAATAAAAAGTTTCAAAGTAATGAAGTCACATTCGATGACTATTTAGATGCTGCTGATCAAATTATGAGCTGCTTCAAGAAGGAAAGTGATGCAACAAAGATTGATGTTTACAAAACATGGTTGATAGAAACTGTAGGAAAACTATCACCTACAAAACCCGAACTTATTAAAGCTATAGGAGAATTGGAATGTTCAATTCTAACAACTAACTATGACTCACTTCTTGAAGATATACTGAATAAAAAGCCATTAACCTGGCATAAATATTTCACTGATGATATTAATGGTTCGTTTGAAAACATGAAGAATTATATTCTGCATATACATGGGTATTACGAAGAGCCAGACAGTGTGATTTTTAATAAAGACCATTATAATCGAATTCCGCAAAGTGAATTTGCGGAATCAAAGTTGAAAACACTTATGGAAACAAAAACTTTATTGTTTATTGGATATGGTGCTGAAATATTTGATCCACATTTTTCTAACTTATTGAAATGGAAATGTAGTTTAACAGGTCATAATTTGCTTCCAATACATAAATTTGTCAAATCAAATAAGAAGAAATTGTCGTATCAAGATTCAGATGTTTCTTTTTTAGAAAATATTAAAACAATTCAATAGACTTATATTTAATCGATCAATAAAATACACTGAACGATCAATAAAAATGTACCAATGAATAAATGCATTTTTGACTAATAAAAAGACTTAAATAACAATAAGTTAACTAAAGTATCAATAAATATACTAAATCATCAATAAATATACTTAATCATCAATAACTTAACTAATTGAAAATTGATTTAATGTAATTACAAATAATT